GCAGGAAGGTGTGCTGTGGAAGGCCCAGTCATATGGTCCATCACCCTTTTCAGTGCAGGATATGTAACTGCTTTGTTCTTGTCGGTGTCCACAATGCAGCAGGAAAAAGTGAAGCAGTTAATAAAAATTTGTGAATAAAACAACAAAAAAAGGCTACAGGAATGGAAGGGCAGGTGTGGGGCGACTGACTGTCCTTTTGATACTCTTGGTTTGAAGCTGTGCAGTATTGGGGTTGCTTTTAGATCGAGTTTTTTGCCCTTTTTGAGTTGAACATTTTGGGACTTTAAACAAAGCTTTCACAGTTTCTGTCCTGTTGTTGAACTTGTGTTTTCCTTTTCTCAGCTGACTTGAAGAAAGACTTGGGTGAATATGTTAAAACTCAGCTTCCCAAAACCACAAAATTGGTCAGAAATGAGAAGCGGGAAGGCTTAATTCGAGGAAGGATGATTGGAGCCTCTCATGCCACAGGTAAACTTTCTTGTTTCTCTCTTCCTTGCATACTTTGACCATATGTTAGTTGAGTGGCTTCTCTTTCTGTAGTGCAGCTCTTTCAGATGTTGAATGTTTGACCTGTCATTGCTTTAGCTCACTGCAGGGGCTCTGCATGTCATGCCATGTTCCAAGCTACACAACTTAGTGCAGGGGAAGAAAGATTTGGCATAATGCTGTCTTAGGTGAGAGACATTTTAGCAATTTAGCATTTTCAGAATAGCAGGGTCTTTGAAATTAGTTAATTGAGTTGATCTTTGACCGTTATATTAACCTGTGTTGCAACAACTACAATAAGTGTCTTCAGCACTACCTGTATAATGCTAATTGGAGACCTTAAGTAACATTTCCTGTGTGTTTAGATCTGTATGATCTCTGTAAAGCTTTCTCCAGTATTTTCTCATAGCTTTACTGAATTAGTCCTCACCTGAGGTTTTTTGTTCCTTGCCTAATGAGAAGGAATCAAGGAGGATTTGGTACTTGCTTATGTGTAAACATAGAGTCGATGTAATAAATCCACCTTTTTATAGTTTGTAATTAACTTGTAGAAAATTTTTGCTGTGTAAGAGGGGGAGATCTTTTTTCAAGTCACCCAAACAGTGACTTGGCAAATTTGGAGCCAAATTTGAGTATCTTAAGCCTTGTCTGAACCATTGATTTGTGTTCGGGTTTTTTGTTTGTTTGTTTTTTCTTCCTATGTAAGTTTGCTTTTGACAAATTGAGTTAATTACTTAGAGTGGGTCAGTGAAATAGTAAAACAAAACCAGTATTTGACAAAATTTAGTGAGGCAGTGTAGAATTTTCCCTATCCTGCCCTGAAAAAATATTGTGTTGGGAACATCTCCCTCTGCACTGGATATTGTGTTTGCAGAATATTTTCTGCACATTTCATGTGAAAACTGTCACTTTAAATTGGCAATCTGCTTCCTTATTAAGGTAAACTCTAATCTGGTTTCTAATTCACCCATCTAATTGTAATGGTTCTCATACAAGCTTTTCTGTTGTTGCAGTGAGTGTTAATTGGGAGGAACTAGGTTTGGTGCTTTATGTGCACTGTGTGCATTTTACCATAATGTGCTTCCCAGTTAAATCCTTTGGCATCTGAGAAAGTGTGTGCTACTTTCTCAAATAATTTTGAGTGGCAGATAAAGTTTCTTAATTGATGTTTACTCATTAGCATTGTAATGGTAACCCAGAGAGAAAATGATGCTTGCACTTTCCAAGCTGTGCTAGGGTTCATTTGAGTTAGTGCAATTTTAAGTCATTTTATTGCTTTTCTGAACTGATAGTCTGGTTTGGGGTTTGTTTTGTTTTGTTTTTCCCCTCAGTCAAATACTGTCTGTTGTTAATGGATAACTTGTTATATTTCTATATTTCTAAGTTTTCTTTAAAGTTCTTTCCCTTCTCTTCCACGTTATTCTAGTGTCACATTTTGTGTTGGAAAAAAATTCAGATGAATTTTAGACAAACTGAATGTGAAGGTCTCTCATGGATGGAACTGTGCTCCCTGACTATGACAGATAATCCTCATGTAAACTGATAGGAATCAAGTGTTGCTTGGTCTGATGCTGGTGGATTTGGCCATGCCCATTTTGGGCATTCATTCTCCTTTTAAACTGATGTGAATCCAGAGTCAATGCCCATTTTTGGGCATTCACTCTCCTTTTAAACCGATGTGAATCCACAATCACTCGAGGGCTAATAAAATGGGGAGGTGCTCTATGTGACTTTACATTCAGGAATTGAAATGCTGTGGCCTGTGTCATGGCTGAATGCAGATTAATTCATCAGAATGACTTAGTTTAAAATCCAGATATTTTAGCTGCTGAAGTGTGATATGAAGCAAGCCCAAGGCGATTGCAGTCAGTGGACAAAAGCAGCTTTGTCATGGAGATAATTCATCCAGGCTGGTATCTGTCAGCTTCCACTATCTCTCTAGTCTCACTCAGGCATGGGAGGTGCTCTGCATCAGGACACACGCACCTCCTGACTCTGAGTGCTGCTCTGGTGATGTGCCATTTAAAGTGCAGTAGCTCTGCTGGACCTGGGTGGAACATTTGATGACTATAGAACCCTGTCAAAGCAATGCCAATGACAGCCCTCTGGAGCCATGCACAGCTAAATGTGAGTAGCCAGGACCTACCTTCTGCCCTTGTGACTGAACTAATCCCTGTGGAGCCTCTGGGTTGTCACTGCTTCTAAGTGCAAATGGTGTTTCCCTTCTGTTACATGGGGACACTGCTGGTACTCTGCTGCCGATACCATGATGTATGTGTTTGTGTGTCATGTTACCATGGATCTCTGTGTTCTGTGTGCTTTGGCCTCTGTAGGGAAATCCTGGACAGTCACTGTGAGGTGAACGAGATGTGGTTACAACCTCTGCTGACTCCCATCAGAGAAGATCGCAGGACCGTGGTGTGCCCTGTGATTGACATAATCAGTGCTGACACGCTCACCTACAGCTCTTCCCCAGTTGTGCGTGGAGGGTTTAACTGGGGCCTGCACTTTAAGTGGGATCTTGTTCCTTTGTCAGAACTGGAAGGACCCGAGGGAGCCACTGCTCCAATCAAGTAAGGTTCCTCCTAAGTGGTGTGAAGCTCTGTGTAACATATGGATGATCAGCACTTCTTAAGCACTATGGAGTATGTCTGGGTGTGCAGTTTTAGAAGCAGATGCTTAACCTGTCAAATATCCAACTTGTTTGTTTTACTTAGAAATAGTTTTGGTTACTAATGTATATTTCAGTTTAATTTCTCTCATGTAATCACGAATTAGATACATCTGTCTTACTAGGTCAAGAAAGCAGGCTTTTAGAGAATGCTTGTACAACAGCAGCTTCTGATAAAGACAAAAGTCTTAAAGAGCTTATGCTGTTCTGTATTTAACCTGTCCAATAATTTAACTTTTGAGCTATGCATTGATGTTTATTTCCAGTCTGTTGATGTGTTTGGTTTAACAATTATTTTGATAAACACCTTTGTGCTAGTAATAGCCTGCTGTCCCACTAATATGGATTCTGTAATTTCTGTGATGAAATGCTAAAGAGTTGATGAATTGGGAAAATACGGTTTTGTGCTGATAGGAAGGTAGTTTCCCAGCTGGTGGGAGAGAACATCAGAGCATATGGTAATTTTCTGTGTGAATAATTTTTTTTGCTTTAGATTTCATTTATATTTTTTCCTCAAATAAGCAATTATTTTGTCATAAAGCTTCCTAAATGAAGACACATGGATGTGAAAACCATCTTTAAAATATGACTTGTCTCTCTGCACAATGTGACAAATGCCCAAAACTGTCTGTTGGAAGCCTGTCTGTATTGTTTTTGCGGTCTGAATTGCTTGAGAGTCGTTCTGAAACAAAAGTCTTGGTAAAGTTTAACACCAGGACTTGAAAGTTACCTTCCTTAATCTTTTAATTGTTGATAGCTGTCTTGCCTGTACTGACAATATGTGGTTCCTACTGGACACATAACTGTTAGAAAATGATGTCAGTAGACACCTTTTTTCAACTGCAGACACATATGGTCCAGACATGAGAACAGAAGCTGTCCCAGTGTGAATCCCTTTGAAGGGTCAGTGGTGGCAGAGCAATGGCAAGAAGCTAATTGTGCTTTTTCTAGTTGCAAGTATTCATCTCGGTACAGAATTCAGGTTTGCAAGGCAGAACATCTTCATCTTTTTTTACAAACTGACTCCTTGCAGAGAATGTGATGCTTTCACCAGATTTGCAAAGTGAATCAGAAATTGGGCAGTCTCCTCTCTCATTCTCTTTTCTTGGACTGTAAATGAAGAGCATTTCACCCTGACGCAAACAGCTCCAGCACAAGGCTCTCTGCTATGGTCTGACAGCTCTGCAGTTTGTCTTTCCACATCTACCATCACAAGATTTGCTCTGAGAAGCCAGGAAACTTCTGAAGTTACTTAACAGTTTAACTGGCTTGCTTGGAAAGTGTCACTGTGACAGTTTCTGTAGCTAGAAGGGAAAGGACAAACTGGGAAAATCTGAATGCGGAACCAGCATAGAAAGTCTTAAAATCCTTATTCAGTTAATAATTCAGTTCTAATAGTTCATCTGGAGCATGCCTGAAGGTTAGTTCTTGCTGTCTTCAACACTGTTGTTGCATTCCTCCAACTTGCTTTTAGGAAAAAACTCCCATGGCAAAGGTAGAAACCTTATAGTTAAAGGGGTGTCTAATAATCCAAAAAGATTACATTTTCTGAGAATGAAAGTGACTTTTTCTACTTGGAGGTCTCTGCCTGCTTTGAAAAAGAAGCTAGAGTAATATTTAACTTTTGAAAATAGCTTTCCATCAAATAGAAAGTCTCGTGTTTTACATTGTAGAGACCTTCATACAATTTTGGTATCAAGGATGGAAAAACTGAGAGGAACCTTTCAACCCAGGTCTTAAAGTGACAGAAACTATAGTAGAAAATTGTGTGAGAACAAGCAAGGAAATCCAGATTGGTTCCGTCACAGGTTTTTTATTAACAAGGATGAGAAAAAGCCTGTTCACAGCCCATTGTACATTCCAACTATTGTATCATATATTTATGTAGTGGTTTTACCCCCTTTTATACTCTTCTAGGGCATCCACATGCTTTGTCGTGCAATAGCAATTCAATCTAGAGATTGTAAAATGGGGATCATATGCAAGTTTTTACAAAATAGAGCAACTTTCTAGTAACACACAGGAAAGGTGCAAAACTGGCAAACCCCAAAGAGAACATCTATGGAAATTTACAAACTGTAAATAACTGACTAATAAAGTGATCATTGCATCAGTGATGAAACAATGCTGCTCCGGGTATTTAAATTCTATCTATGAGACAGTAGCATTTATTTTAGCAGCCTCTTGGCTTGTATAATTTAAATTTGGACCTTGTTTCTCAGTCTGATTTCATATAGGGAAGTACTGTATACTCTGGCTTCTACTCTTCCTGTAGTTCAGTCAAGCCTGGTCTGTATAATTTGCCACTGTAAGAGGGGAAGAACATGTTATTGTGTGCAAGTGTGCACATATGTAGCTTTAGGGTCAATAGCTTGTAGTAAAGACAGATCTAATTAAAGGCAACTCCTGACTGTCACTGTAGAAAACCTGATGGATTCCAAACTTACATAGGGTTTTACTTTTTTTTTTTAAGTAGAGACATAGCCACTTTGTTCTTCTTTGCCTGTCCTTTCCCTTTTCCTCAAGTTTACTATACAAAGTAGTATGGTTTATAGGTATTAGAATAGTGAAAGATCACGAATACCACTTAACAGATTTACTTTTGGAAATGTTTTGACACTAGAAGTGTGATCTGATTATTTCTAGTGTCTGCAGGATTTAAGTTTTAGATCTAAATTTAAGCTCTGGGACTAGTCCATTCAGCTAAAATTATTGTGTTTTGTTTTGGTTTGTTTTTTTTTCCCTCTAAAAGAAAATGATCATATTTCAATATTCCTTTTTAGGTCACCTACTATGGCTGGAGGACTGTTTGCCATGGATCGTGAATACTTTAATGAACTCGGACAGTATGACAGTGGTATGGACATCTGGGGAGGAGAAAATCTGGAGATATCTTTTCGGGTAATCTAGCTTTTATGTGTATTGGAGCATGAACCGCAGTGTCTGGCTGTTTCTCTTCCCTATGTGCAGTTTCTTTAGCGCTGGAATAGCTGTTTGCAAACAGAAATCAGCACGTTTATTCCCAAGAAGGGTCCCTTCAGTGCAGAGTAACTGCCTTTACAATAATCTTCAAGTTAAGTTTTAATGGGAAGATTAAAGAGAATTTTGAGCTTTAGTTTTATATTTGTAGCTTTTTCTTTGCTTGGAGCGAATGGAGCATTTCATAATACCGATAGAGAAGCATACAAAAAGAATAACAATGCAAATGTCTGAAATGAGTCTGTAAGCAATGTCTAATAAGTTGCTTAAAAAGATGTGTGGCTCACAGCAACATTGATAATAAGCAAGCTTATTATATTCCCTTAGACATGTAGGGGGCGTTTCAGACACTTCAGCCTCCTTTGTGAGGGCCTGCAAATATACATTTTTTTTTTTTATAACTAAATTAAGAGTCATGTGGAGGAATCAGCTTGGTTGGGAAAATGATGAGAAAGTTGTAATCAGGAGTTTCAAAAGTGATACTTCATTGGGCTTCCTCTACTTTATCTCATCTTCTCTGTCACTCCCCTGAGAGAAGAACAACTTTTTGTGCTCAATGTCCTGTTTTTACCTCTTCACTTTGGTAAAGTGGATTAATGAACAGGTTTGACAGGAGCCTGCCTTAAAATGAGATGTTATAATGGCAAATATGAAAAGGGGATTAAAAAGTGAAGTTAACATAAAAAAAAAAACCAAACCAACCACCCAAAACCAAACACACAACCCCCAAAACTTTAGAGAAATCTGTCAAATTGGGTCATTAGAGAAATCAAGATTAGAGTTCAAAAATAAGAAGTGTCACTTCATAAATCTGTGTGACTTTAAAGGGGTGTGTACTGAATAAATAAAATATTTCAAATTTTCAGTACAGTATATCATTATTAGATATCTGAGTAGAATTGTACGGAGTGTGAGGAAATTATTGTTGTTACTGTGTAATACACAGTTGCAATAAAAAGGGCTTTGAAAAGTTGGAGCATATTCAGAGAACTTTATAAGGTCTGGAAGCTCTGACTCCCTGGTGGAGAGTTGTAAAGAACTTCAGTCTTTATCTTATCCAGGAGGAGTTTTAAAAGTGACTGGATTACAAACTGCTAATGTGAGAAGATTTTTCTGAGATTGGAGAACATATTAGTTCAATAAAGGACCAATAATGGTGATTTGCTGGAAGCTGAAGTTTAAAAAGATATTTAAAAAAATAAATGGGAGTAGAGTGTAAATGAAATCTGGAGCTGGGGTGCAGTAGAGCTGGATTAAGGCACCTAAATGTAGTATCTGTATATGAACAGTATTTCTGAGTTCCCATGTACTTGACAGAAACAGCTGTGTAAAATACATGCTTATACTTAGTTAAAAAGTTCTCTAGGCTCCCTCGATGATATTGACTGATCTTCATGATCTATCATGGAAATGTGCACCTGTAATTCTCAGGTAGGCAAATGGATTTAGATATCTTAATCTGCAAGTTGAATCTCAGCCCATGTAGTTCAGTGTTTTCTAACAGGTCATTACAGCATAAAATTTTAGGAAGTTTACTCTTTGTTTAGTGAAAGCCACGACGTGCTATGTGGGAAGTGTGATCATATGACAAAAATAATCTTTTCTAACCTGAAGATCTAATAATTTGACTTACCAGAAAGCATGACATGTAGGACAACATTGCTGATGCTTAATCTCATCATTATGTATAAATCCACCTAAGTATCCCTTGAAGAAGGGGAGGAGAGAGTGAGCCTTGTCGGTAAATGTACAGTGAGGTGTGTTCTGCTTTTGTATGGACAGATCTGGATGTGTGGTGGGAGACTTCTGATCATCCCCTGCTCCAGGGTGGGACACATTTTCCGTAAAAGGCGCCCCTATGGCTCCCCAGGGGGACAGGACACTATGGCTCACAACTCACTGAGGCTGGCACATGTGTGGATGGATGAATATAAGGTAAGAGTCAGTTCTAGTCCATGAAATTGTTATTAACTGGCTTGTTTGTCAAAGGACTGTATGACAGTGGGGTTTGTTAGCATCTCCAATGAGGTCTTCCATCTGCAGTCTGATTTCCTAACATTAATTTTGATATGAATTCCCAAATTCTGTAGGACTGTCATTTGGCTTTTGAGGGCTCCAATCTACTCCATGTTACTTCTGCTGCCTGCAGGAGATTGTTTTATGCCTTTTTAATGAAGTAAAAGATGACAAATGAGTTCTTGTAAGCTCTGCATTGCTTTGTGTCCAAATCAGTATTGGGTGGCAGCCATGTACTACTACTATATGCCTTCAGGTAGTTTCTGTGTTGGTGAGACAGGGATTTTGTTGGTTGTTTGCTTTCTGTTTTAATTAGCAGTCTGATTCTTATCCTGAAAGATCAATCAGGATTGACTTCTGGATTCAAGGGCAAGTGAATTCCTTCCTTGTCTTCAGATCTTGGTACTGATGGTTTTAAATGTGGATCAGGTTTTTGTGAAGCCCTGATCTCTGTCCCCATACTTGAGGACATTTTGCCTTGTGAGACCATAAGATATTCTGTGTGGCCAGCTCCTGTGGTCCCTGCGATTTCTATACAGGATATATTTTATTAACTCTATATTTTGTAGATGTTTATGTTTCAAACCCCATCCTTTATCTTGATGTGCAGTCAGTCAGAGGAACCTATTAGGGGTCACTAATTTTTATCTCCACTCTCCATCTCCATAATGCATTGGTAGATTTGATCTATTGCTTTCCCTTTTATTGGAGTCTGGGCACAGTTGTTTTGTGATTAATGATGGCTTTCCCTGAAGCTTGGAATTGATTCTTTGTTATAATTTCCAGCTAATACTGCTTTGTCCAACAAGGACGTAAACTGCTGACTCTAGCAGTCTCTTATCACAGACTTGTGTCCTGAACTTTTCCAGCTGTTTCTAATGTAATTCTCTGATAGTTGCCAGAAAATGTCATTATGACAGGTTTATGTATGAAAAGCAAGCCTGGAAATATTTTTGTAAGTGTAATGCAAATATTTAGGGCCAGTATCATTTACTGAAGTGATTGCATGATGAATAGTACAAAGATAAGACTTAAAAGACCTGTTTTTCAGCAAAGAACAAATGCCACTATTGAATAAAATTGCATAATGGAAGGGAAACAGCAAAATTTTCACAACTGTCAAAAACAAAATGTAAAAGAAGTTCATGTATACCATGGAAATAAATAATGCAGAAAAGGTGGGACACCAAAACTTGAACTTTAGCTGAGAAAGAGTTGGAATAGCAGAGTTACTTTTTTGAAACAGAGCAATTTCTGATAGTGGCACGCAGTCCATCTCCAGACTTCTTCAGAGCTGTGCAACAGTTCAGTGTACTTCCCCTTCCTCTGCTATTAAAACAGCAGTGATGCATCAAGCACATCCAAATGCTCAGAGATCTTGATAAGGGCAGATGTGTAATTTGTCTTGAGGTGATGCTGCCTGTCATCTGAATCAACATTCTGTGTGATTCTGTGATTCTGTGATCTGAATATCAGAGTTTTCAGTAGGTAATTGAAAACTGTCAGAACCACATTATGGTAAGTAAATTCCACATGTCTACTTGAGATTAGTCCCACAAAATACCATTATCTCAGTGCCCTGAAAACTGATTCCTAAATAATATCTAGTAAATGAGTTAATGTGCAAATATAATGTCTTTTCTATGAACCCTGTAAATCTAGCTGGAAATAAAGACTCTACAAAGGGATTTTTCTTCTAGTTTTGGTAAGAGTATTCATGCCACATCGTACATTCATGAATTCCTGTTTGTCCCCATTGTCTCTGTATTAGAGTTGAGCTGGAATCTTAATCCATCCTCACCTATCCAGGTACAATTCTGAGTATAATCATAAATTAGAACATGAAAAAATAACACTGCGGGAGCCTTTCTGGAGGTGATGCAGATGAATGGAAAAACTGGGCTTCACAGAAAGCCCAGACGACAGTTCTGATTCTTCATGTGACTAAATGCATGGTCCCACTGAACTTCACAAGATAGTCCTGTTTATAGGTCTGTTCTGATATGGATTTTTTTTTTCCCCTGGTAACTTGTAAAGCTGGAAGGCTGGAAATTATGCAAGACAAAATACACTTGAACCCAACAACAACAAAAAGAATCAAACTAATTTAAAGAAACCTCCTCCTGATAAGGATGATGATGATATACACGTCTGTTTCTGACCTAATGACTCTAGGGGGATGGCTTTATTGCCAATGGAGTGTAGGGCTGGTTTGTTTCCTCCTCAAGTTGTTATCTAAAAAAGGTCATCAGATTCATGCCCATGAAGTGTCTTCATCAAAAAAAAAAAAGCAGTCTAGAAAGATAAGCTCAGAGATAGGCAAGATAAATCTCACCTCCTGTGGCAAGCTAAACACTGGAATTTCCTAATGCCAGTTTCAAACCTAAGGGTTGAAAGCACTAGCAAAATGGAATGAAACTTTGGGAGTTCTGCAAAGATGAAAAAGTTGGAAATCAATAATCTGAAATTCTTCTCCCCCTGCCCCCAACCTGTTTCTCTTCTATACAGGAGCAGTATTTTGCTTTGAGACCTGAGCTAAGGATGAGGAACTATGGAAATATTACTGACCGTGTAGAATTGAGAAAAAGATTGAACTGCAAGTCATTTAAGTGGTATTTAGATAATATCTATCCTGAGATGCAAATATCTGGGCCCAATGCCAAAGCTCCGCAGCCAGTTTTTATTAATAGAGCACAGAAACGACCGAAAATAATCCAACGTGGAAGGGTAAGATAAACTTTCTTAAAAATATAGAGTTTTGGGGAGTTTTTTTATTATTTTGAGATTCTTTCTGAAGGATTTGCTGAAATACAAGAAAAATAGTCTGTTTCCATAGAGCAGAGAGTTTTAGTTTTGCAACAAGCTGTCTTGAAAATAACAGAATTTGTGTCTTCAGACAAAAGCAAATCAGTTTCACTCTGATCTACATTTTGAGTCATCTTCAGGCGAGATACTATTCAGTGAAGTTTCTTACCTCAAAGCTCTGAGTTACAAAGTTTTGATGTCTTTAGAGTGTGCCTTCATGGCTGTTGGTTCTGAAGATGGATTTGGATAGAGAGAAATTTGGCCTCAAATATTCATGCTCTGTTGGTTCATGATAAGAGTACAATGTAATTGGTTTCCAAACTCATTGCTTTTACTGGATAATTTTCTGCAAAGATGAATATTTGCATCTGAGACTGATGGCTTTTCTAGTCTTGACTGTTAAATAATGAACAAAAAATGAGTTTTGCTCCTTTTTTCTTCAAAGTAGAAGTGATGAGATATATTTTTATGTGTATTCATGAGGAAATAATGATTAATCTCATGCCTTGGCTCTAACACCTATGTTTGTGTGCAGGCAAAGCCAGCACACAGTTATATCTGTTCTCTCCAGTGCCAAATTTGTCTGATGTGTGCTTTTTACACTTCCCAAAAGTAATGGATAACTTCAAACCCAGGAAACTTTCTCAAACTAAATGAACTATTTTATGTGCACATGGGTTATGGTTAGTAGATTCCTTTCTAGCTCAGTAACTGGAAGCATTAAATAGGGATGTTGCCCTCTCCACAAGGTAGCACAGTCTGCAGTAGCTGTTGACAGTTGTTGACCCTGCAAGTAGATTCAAGCTGGAGGATCTGAGTTCATGCAGAACCTATTGACATCATTCGATTTTTGCTTGGAAGCAGCTATCTGGGAATCTACAATTTGTGCAGTGTTTTTATAATTGTCTCCCAGCCAAGCTGTAAAGTTACTTATTAGGGCAAACATGCATAGTTTCCCTGGATGAAACTGATACAATGGGCTGATTCCCCAAGTTTAATGGTGTTATTCCCCTAATCAGACCTTGGGTTTTGTTTTTTTTCTTTATTACTCCATTAAATTTAATAGCTTTCTGCTTTCATCCAGACAGAAGTTTAACTATGGAATTGCTGATGTGGGGGAGGCTACTGAGGGATCTGAATCCCTCAACAACACTTAAGGGGAAACCTTCCTAGCAATCATTTCCCATGGTTTAATTTGGAGAAAAAGTTTGTGCACCCTTTAAGAAAGGGGAGACAAGACACAGAAAAATGCAGTTCCTTGGCTTGGTTCTCCAGGGTTCAAGAATTATACCCAGCATTGTATGAGAGAGTCAGCTTTGGCTCTGATGGTTGTATAAACTATTTCCAGATGCCTACAAGGAACAGAGCGATCAGCCAATGTCACCACTGCATGCCAGACTCTTTAGGGTTCGGGATGAATCACTCCAAATCCCAGTTTATTCTCCAAAACTAATTGGGCCAGAGATAAGTGCTGGTTTGACAGCTGGGGGGAACTATAATGATCACAAATTGTGATAGTTCTGAACAGTGTTATCAAATGCTTATCATCATGGCCAATAAAAACAAGGACAAAAATCATATAAAACTTGTAGCTGTATGGTTTGAAAGCCTTCTGTTGAGTGAGGAATGATGAAAATGAGATCCCTCCTAGAAGTCTCTGGGGTGTGAGGAAATCTTACTTAGAAGGTTTTGTGTAATTTGTTTCAGATGTGAAGTAGGGAACAGGAGAAACATGGTGCACTTGAGGGGGCTGTTGATGTGCCTTGGGACAACTATTTCCAGAAATGGAATTTAGTGAAGAGTATGATTTGGTATTTGCACCCTCTAATTTTTGCTATCATGTGATGGAGCAGTCCTTTCTTTTTGTTACTGGGAGTGTATTCTGGTTTCTAAAAACCTGTAGAATAGCTACAAATGCCAAGACAGCTCTGTATGTCTTCATAATAAAATGCAGCTAGCTAATTAATCACCCTGGCCTTGAGTTCAGGACAGCAAATTCTTTTTTCCTCTACATTCAGCTCCAGATTGGAAATAATTACTTTGAATGTGGATGCCAGCTCTGGGGCCCTGCCATCTCCCACACAGGCACACGGCCAGTGACTGTCAAGTGCACTCCCATGCGCTTGGTACGGAGCAAAGGCCCTTTGCTGTGAGGAAGGAAATGGCAGAGTTGTGGCCATCGCTAGAATAATTGCCTTTCTCCTTCGTATCCTTGGCTGTGGAGGCAGTGATCACCCACCACACTGGGGGAAGAAAAATAATCAGGCTGAAAAGAAGTCTTCTGCTGACCACCAGTTAATTTAGGGCATGTGTGTAATTTAAAGCTGGAATAGAGGTGTTTTGTCTCGCTGAGTGACTCCATGGGGTTACATACATCAACATCTTAATGATTCTTGATTGTTGGAATAGGACAACCTAGTCATCAGGCTCTGCAGAAAATCTCTTGGGTGACTTTTAGGTTGGGCATCATTGCCAAGACCAGGAGAGACTGCTGACTTGCTGGGAACCTCCTTGTTTGCTTTGATGGTATATGCTTACAGTTTTACATCCCAGGACAGGCTCCTCACCTGAATCTAGTCCCCTGATAAATTACTCCAAATCAGATGAGGCAGTGCATTTGAATGGGAACGAGCATTTGGGTGTCTGTAAAATCTTCCCTTCTTCCCTGATCTGTTATTAAAATAACTTAGCTGGTAACTAAGGTAACTTTTATGTTACCTGAACACTCTTAAAATTCAATTTGCAAACAGCATAAGTCTCAGAAGTTGCTTATATTTGTGTAATTCCCTCTTTTTCAAAGAGGGGGTCCTGCTTCATGAAGAGAGGCTGTGGGATGAGACTTGTGTTTTAAGCTAAATTGTAGTAAAATGTAGTTAATACAGTACAGTTGATATTCTTGAGATAGTGACTGCCTGAGACCTGAGACTTTGATGGAGAGTGAAGAGGAGAAAGAAACTGGGCAGAGAGTATGGCCAGCACGTGCTGAGTCATGTTGCCTGTACTGCACTTGTACACAGAAGGAAGGTCTGATGTAATTAGAAAGCAAAATGGAACTATGTACTGCTGTTTTTTCTCCAAATTATCTGAAAAAACAAAATGGTATTTTAAAAGGGAAGGAGGTTTGGTTTTTTTTAATTGTGGGCTGGTTGTGGGGTTTTTTTGTTGGTGGGTTGTTTGCTGTGGGTTTTCTTTGTTTGTTTTTTGTTGGGTTTTTTTTGTGAACACACTGACTCCTAGGGCTTCCAAAGCATTACTGTATGTTCCTTTTGGTATGTGATGTTTGTTGTTTACTCTGTCCATCAAATTGTTTTCTTTTCATAGTTGTATCATCTTCAAACCAACAAATGCCTGGTTGCCCAGGGCCACCCAAGTCAGAAAGGAGGCCTGGTAGTGGTTCGGGAATGTGACTACAACGATCAAAACCAGGTAAGATATTCCTAATTCTATTGAATACTGATTCACATCTTACAAATTGCTGATACGTTTTCCTGCTGGCAAAGTGCCCTAGTATAACATTTCTGTACCTACTGATGCTGAGTGTTGGATTTTATAATCTTTATGGCATGGATCTGGTATGTGGCTGAAGACTTATCCTTAAGTGGCTCCTGACAAGTTCATAATTCACTGTTTGACACTGTAGAATTTGAAGCTCTTTCAGTCAGTTCCTCATACCAGGATTTAAGGCAGCCTTTTCCTGGCCTGCTGTTCTCTGTGTACTGTACAACAAGTCCCCTGCTGCTGGAGTGGCTGTAGTTTGGGGTGAATGAATGATTTGTTGTTATCTTCAAATAGAGGGAATTATAAGGAATTTAAAAAATTCCTTGGGTATAGGTGAGGTTTAGTTGGGGATGGATGTAAAAATCTAGTGAGAATTTTTATATGAAGCCTTTGCTATTACACTTCTTTCAGGCAACAGAAATTCAGGACTTGGATAAACAATCTCCAGGGTAGAGAGATCTTCACCTAATGCCATAAGGACTTTTACATAGTGAAGAACTACATTGAGAACATTGTGATTTAGGGGCCAATGGGACCTAAGTCTAAAAAACTAGATGACATCTAAAGAGAAAATTAATCAAAAACTACATAAATGCAGCGTGGGATGTAATTCAGTGTAGCTTTACCAAAAGTGGGTTGTGCTAGACCAACTTGATACTTTATGAAATGGGCTGTAGTTTTCAGGATATGGAAACTGCAGCTGTAGAAGCAGGATGATTTGCAATAGTCCCAAACGAAAAGTTACATGTTTTGGTAACTAATGGGGCTTTCTGCCTCCTACCTGTGGTCTCACCGCTTGACTGTGACACAGGGAGACAGTGTGAAAAGTGTTAGTGTCTAGATGAGTGTGACTGGCTGTAGAGTCATGGTCTCCAGTTGCTACTTAAACAGGACCAAACAATACATCCCTGCACTGTGTCTGTGGAATACTGAGTAATCATCTCTATTACCAAATTGGAGGTCCCTGTTTTAAAGGTGGATGAATTTAAGCTGGAATGGGATTCAGAGTTCTCCTGAAAGAAAGTCAAGAAAGTCAGCAAGTCTCACTGCCTGCGTAAACATCGTAGTGGCTGATTGGCACCAGTGGTTGTACATTTACAGTGCCAGAGCTGGTACACTGTTCTCTGAGCCATTCAGTCTGTGAGAAAGCAGCAACGACTTCCAGTGGCTGATGTCCACAGGAAGAACAGATGGGTCCTCGCAGTTACTGCAGTGTTTCTAACAGTGAACTGCCACATGGCTGGAGGAGGAAGTCTGTTGTTTTTCCTTATCAAAACCTTTTCCTGATTTTTTTTTTTAATTTTTTTCTCCTCAAGACAGATTTCAGTTAGCCTTTTGGTGTTGAGGAAGACAAATTAATGCTCAGGTTGTTGATCTTTGTCTTCTGTTCTCATTAATCTAGTCTACTAGGGGTAAATTAAGCAATTAGTTATTGTAAAAAAACCTGTCTGTGCTCTCTTCTTTCACAGTGATTTTGTTCTCTAACCAAGTATGTTAACCAACATTATGGTTTTCTGCCATTAGACTTATTTTGTTCTCCTCAGAAATCCCAGGAGAGCATTCAGCCAGCTTGCTTTCATATCCTCTGGAACAATCTTGCTCTAGATATGTGAGAATAATGTAGAGAAAGATGACATGTCATTAACAGCTTCTGCTTAAAAATAGCAAGGAAATTCCTGAGTATTGGAAGCTTTTAACTGGTGTTTCTGGTAACACTCAACCCATTGGCATTTTCAGCTGATTTTTTGCTCTAGAACCATCTGTTTTATGCTGTTGGCCTAACAAGGAAGCCCGTGTTGGATCTGGTGAAAGGCAGATACCCGGCTATCCTGTCCCCTGGATACCTGCTGGCAGAAAGTTAAGGGTGTGTTGATTAATACACCCAGTACAGACAATTATTCTGGAATATATCAATCTGCACTTTGTAAGCAGTACTTTTGTGTCTGTTTAGTGTTTTTTCTGAGCCAGAGATGGTGTTCTTGTAGAATTTTTGCTTTTTCACGAGGGTCTAATTGTATTTTGCTCTCGTGTAAGCTTTTGGCATCTTGTGGCAGTGAGTACCACACCTCAGCTGTGCTTTCTGTGGAAATAATTTGATGTCACTTGGTGCTGATTTCATTTGATGTGAGCTCATTTTTCCCTGAGGAACAGGAATAAGTTACCACTGTTTTATCTCTTTTCAGGCTGCTTTTGCTCTGTGAATAGATAACACCCTCCCTTCAAAAATATATGCTACTGCTCAGTAAGTTGAAGGAGCAAAGTGTAGTCTACCTGGGAAAACATGCAAAGAGCTCAGAGAACAAAATTGAGCTGCCTTAAGACTCATTGATTGCAGTTCTTTAGGTTGGGAAATAATCTGTGTAATCTTTTCATTGGAAAATGGTCTTCTGTGTAATAGAATTCATGCATGTGAGAGCTGACCTTGAAAAGTGTGTGTGGGGAAACCAGACTTACTGAGGTCATGAGATTGGCCTTGCAAACAATTCTGTTTTGCCTTTAGTTTATGCTTGCTTTATTTTCTCAAGCCTTCATGGCTGCTAAGAAATTTCAGATTTTAATTTTTGATTTTGAAGAAATAACAGATGATGTGTCACTTGCTGTTGTATCACCATTATGGGTGATACATCAAACTATCCTGTTTTCTAGGACTTGACAGTGACATTCCGTTCACCTTTTTGCATTCTTTCTTTAGAAAGAAAAAGCAATAAGGGAAGTGGTTCTCACAAAGGTGATGCATCTAGAAAATATTAAAAAAAATTGTACTTCTCTAAATTATAATGAAAACTAGGACATTTAATTAACTGTAACATAAATAGTCTGGGATAATATTGGGGATTGAACACAAATTTAGGTGTAAGTGATGAAAATTTTGTAGTTAGAAGTAGCACAAGTAGAAGAGGTGACAGAATCTTACAGAATGAAGGTCAGTGCAGAGAGCTCTGAAGTAACAGAAGAAACAGAAAAATTGATTGTGAATTTTGCAAACAGAAGACTTAACAGGGAATAAGAAATTTTGTAGTTGAAGAGTGATTGTGTGAAGGAACTGCCAGGAGTGCCAAAGTAAACACTCTTCTGAAATTCAACAGTGTCTGACCTCTTTCTGGAAATAAAATTGTGAATGCATAAGGTAGTGCACACCACAAACATTTTGGTGTTGGAGGAGGATAGAAAATGTTTAAGTACGTTGAAAGATCATCATGAAAGACTGGAGATGCCTGAAAAGTGGAAGAAAGAATTGGTGTAGATTCTACCCAAAACCATCATGCCAAGGTTGATCAGCTGGTGATTAGGAGACAAGGATGCTGAAGCAGGCTTTAGGCTAGGTACTGCCCTGAAGGAGGAGTAGAGCTAGTTACTGACAAACTTGGAGAAGAAGCATCAAAGAACACTAAAAAGGAAGGTTTTGGAGTGAAGCACAGTGGCCACCATAGGACTGACTAGTGGGAGTGTCTGTGATGTAACAGCTAAAAGAATCATAGAATGGTTTGGGTTGGAAGGGACCTTAAAGATCATCTAGTTCCAAAGAAGATTGGGTTTGTCATATAGCTCATGTGTGCTTGCCTTTTTCCTGACCTGAATGGTTAAAACCAAGTTCCTTTTCCAAAAAATCTTTTAAAGTCCACTGAATTATGTGACTTTTTTTCCTACTGTTTGTTTTCAGATACAGTAGTTTGACTCTTAAGCTTTACTTTGTGTTGTTACAATCTCTCCTCTGTTTACTTCATTTCAGAAATTTAACCTTTCTCTTACTTTGCAATATATTAGGCTTTAAATATTTGACTGCCATTCCAGCTGGGGATGGTGCTGAAGTGTCTAAACATGTGCATCTGTGCTCTGGGCCTTTAAAAGAGAACTGTTTTGAGCAGGGAATTTCAGAAAGGCTCTGTTAACACTCTTGTAGCACTTCATAAATGTAAGAATACATACTTTACAAACTGCTCAAGAGTCATGAGCCTAGAAGGATGAGCTCACACGTGCAGTTCTTCAGTGATATCTTGCTCCCTAAACTTCTAGATCATA